TCTTCATTAGAAATTAGCCTACTGATTGCCACCATTGATGGACAGCATTTTTTAATAATATTAAAAATATCTGTATGACATTATATTCTGCAGTTCTTCCCGAATATCTATACTTTTCAAATTATCACATCGAAGTTAGAAATTCAAATATTGTGACAAAATTAATTTTGTAGGGTGCCACAAGTTTGTTAAAATTTCCAAAGGGTGCCGCGACTAAAGAAATGTTGGGAAACACTGGCCTAGACAAATATAATTATTCAGAAATATTTGACCAGCACTGAGAGCCATGTAATAACAGCATATACACAGCCTCAAAGCGAACAGATATGCGTTTTCTTTATTTAATGTGCCTGATTACCCAAGTCTGAAGATGTCTGCCAGTTTCAGGAAGGCAGAGTTGATGAGGATGGGAAAGGGGTACTTCTGAAAGAGTTTGGGGGAACAGGACCACAGCTTCACATTGCTCGCCCAGTTTACCAGACCTTAAACCTTTAGTGCGAAAATAAAAATGACTGGGTAAGTTAATTACGTCAACAGATTCCATGCTGTCTGAAGAGAAATAAACACATTACTGCGTTATCAGATGAACAGGTAAAATAAGGCATGTATAGCTGAATCATAACACACAAGCCCAACCTTTATCGAGCTCCATCAGCGCAGAATTGGCGTCCAGCTCCTGCTCGCCATAAGCAGCCTCCGACAGAAACGAGCGCGCTGCGGAGAGCGACATCATTTATCGTTAGATTGCGAAAAATGTGGAACGACAGACTGTTTTAAGACTCAGTATTTTACTCGTTAGAGCAGACAGACTTGGCGCATGAAGTTTGAAGCGGATGACCCGGCTGCAGTGCAGGTCACGTGACAAAGCCAGGCTCTTACGTCGGGTTTCCGTTGAGCCACAAAGAACGCTAGAAGTGAAAACGACTGAGGTCACAAAGAGGGCGTGGCCTATGCGTTGGCGTCAACTCCGATTGGTCTCTGTCTCTGATAATAAAAAAAACGTTTTTTACTCTGCTTGGCTTTCATGAATTGTTTTTAAATACAGTATCTATCTATCTATCTATCTATCTATCTATCTATCTATCTATCTATCTATCTATCTATCTATCTATCCATCCATCATCCATCCATCCATCCATCTATCTATCTATCTATCTATCTATCTATCTATCTATCTATCTATCAATCCGTCCATCCATCCATCCATCCATCCGTCCGTCTGTCTATCCATCCATCATCTATCCATCATCTATCTATCCATCCATCCATCCATCCATCCATCATCTATCTATCCATCCATCCATCCATCCGTCCGTCCGTCTATCCATCCATCATCTATCTATCCATCCATCCATCCATCATCTATCCATCATCTATCCATCATCTATCCATCATCTATCCATCATCTATCCATCATCTATCCATCATCTATCCATCATCTATCCATCATCTATCCATCATCTATCCATCATCTATCCATCATCTATCCATCATCTATCCATCATCTATCCATCATCTATCCATCATCTATCCATCATCTATCCATCATCTATCCATCATCTATCCATCATCTATCCATCATCTATCCATCATCTATCCATCATCTATCCATCCATCCATCCATCATCTATCCATCCATCCATCCATCTATCTATCTATCTATCTATCTATCTATCTATCAATCCATCCATCCATCCATCTGTCCGTCCGTCTATCCATCCATCATCTATCTATCCATCTATCCATCCATCTATCCATCTATCTGTCTATCAATCCATCCATCCATCTATCTATCTAGCTATCTATCTATCTATCTATCTATCTATCTATCTATCTATCAATCCATCCATCCATCCATCTGTCCGTCCGTCTATCCATCCATCATCTATCTATCCATCCATCCATCCATCCATCTATCCATCTATCTGTCTATCAATCCATCCATCCATCCATCCATCCATCCATCTATCTATCTATCTATCTATCCATCCATCCATCATCTATCCATCTATCTATCTATCAATCTATCTATCATCTATCTATCATCTATCTATCTATCTATCTATCTATCTGTCTATCTGTCTATCTATCTATCTATCTATCTATCAAATCTAATAAATAATTATTTTATTTTTTTTATATCAAATAAAAACACAATATTTTTCTTTATTATTCATAGATGAGGATTTTTAAATTAATGAATAAAAAGTAATATTGTTATATTGATCGTTGTTTTGAGATTTACGTCGGAAATCATTTTCATTCTTACAAATACATTAAAAATAACAATCAGATTTTTTTTATCTTAAATTAATTTTTAACTCACAATTATGACTTAGTAAGACATAATTTCGACTTCTTATCGCATAATGCATTGGTATCTTGTATTTCTAAATTTTGTGTCGTAATTTTGAACTTTTGTCTCATAACTATGACCTTTTATGTCATAATTATGATTTACCAAAGCATTATATTTTTTCTTATGTGGCGGAAATGTGCTTCCATAAAATTGTGAATTGTTCAAAAACAACAGATGTTTCGGATGCAGTAAAGCATCTAAATAAATAAAGTCCAATTGGTGTATAATGTTAAAGGGGTCATATGATGCGATTTCATTTTTTCCTTTCTCTTTGGAGTGTTGCAAGCTCTTGGTGCATAAAGAAGATCTGTAAAGTTGCAAAGACTAAAGTCTCAAATCCAAAGAGATATTCTTTATCAAAGTTAAGACTCTGCCACACCCTCCTAAAACGGCTCGTTCTAACACGCCCCCACATATCTACATCACTATGTGGGAAGATTTGCATAACGCCGCCCAAATGTTCACGCAAAGACAGAAGGCGTAACTTTTATTCTCGCTGTAGTATTGTTGTTGCCGCTGCCGCCATGTCCTGAAGATGTTGTGTGTTTCGTTGTGAAAGCGAAACTACTTTGTTTGGTCTTCCAAAAGAGGACGATATTCGCTTCATCATGCCTGGAGCTGATCCGTGCTGGTCGCTGAGGGAATACATCAACTTAGTGCTGTGGATCGCCGGCACATTTTATGGAGGACTGTTTACTGATCCTGGGAGAGTAATGTTAGACTAAAATGCCGGCAGTTCTGACTCACGTAAGTACGTTTTCTTTTATCATTTGCCACTGATGATTCAAACGTGAGTTTTGAGCAGTGTAGAGTAGGACTTGTTGTTTGTCATTTCTACGATCACAAATGCAGACAGAGTTTTATGTTTACGTGGCGCGATGCAACCCAACGCGTAAAGACAGTATAAGTCATTATAATCCATAATTATGTCCCCGCTGGAAAATAATGTGTTTTTTTTACTTTAAACCGCATAAACACATTTCATTACGCCAAATACACAAAATAATGTTCTTTTTAGCAGCATCATATGACCCCTTTAAACCAGCAGCCATCCCACTCTCTGCTGCTTGTAGATAGAGTGTCAATGGTCCATTTGAGATATAGGTGGCGGTAATGCACTAATAAGTCTGCGATCCGCCGTAAAGCAACAAGAAGAAGAAGAAGAACTCGCTGCTGCTCAACACTTCCGGTATTCTGACGCATTGACCAATCAGAAGAGCGAACGTCGGTATCGCGCGGAATTCGTCTTCGTCGCTTTTGCAATGTTCGCGGGAAACTGAGCATTTCTGAATGAAACACCTATCCAGCAGGAGCTATGACTCTTTTTCACCATGTTGTTGATCGAGGCGTTATCAAAAGAAGATGTAATGGTGAGTATAATTTAGACATGTCAATGGAAATCTATGTGTTTACGCTTTTTCACTCAAAACCCTGTAATAATAATCAGGTCAGCGTCGGCGCTATGCGCTGTCCTCTCTGCTGGACGGATACCAGTGCGCTCGACAGGACGAGCACACTTCACACGGAGCCTCGCCTGCTGCTGTGCCGCCGTTTGGATGCACATTTTCCTCTGGTACACTTTTAATGAAACGTTCACAATGAGTGTACTCGGATCCCCACGACTGTGTGAAGCCTAACACTTTGTGCTGGGTTATTTGTTGCTCAGCTCCTGGTCAACAGAGCAGCCTTGCTGTTGCGAACGAGGAAGGGTTTGTGACCATCTTCAACACCAGAGAAAACCAGAGCTCTGTGCTGAAAGGTTGGTTTACGTTTACCTAGATTCAATACTGTTTTTGTGTAGGATACCTGTTATTTTTGTCAGACTGATTCATATATGTTGAACTATTGTTTTACAGAGTGGCAGGCACACGATAATGCAGTTTTTGATATTGCCTGGGTTCCTGGTGCAAACAGCTTAGTGAGTATCTATCTATCCATCTCATCTATCTCATCTCATCTATCTATCTCTATATCTCATCTATCTATCCATCATCTATCCATCATATCTATCTATCTCATCTATCTATCTCATCTATCTATCTATCTATCTCATTTATCCATCTCATCTATCCATCTATCTATCTAATATCTATCTATCCATCTCCTCTATCTATCTATCTAATATCTATCTATCCATCTCATCTATCTATCTATCTATCTAATATCTATCTATCTATCCATCTCATCTCATCTATCCATCTCATCTATCCATCTCATCTATCTATCTCATCTATCTATCTCATCTATCTATCTCATCTATCTATCTAATATCTATCTATCCATCCATCTCATCTATCCATCTATCTCATCTATCTATCTATCTATCTATCTATCTATCTATCTATCTATCTATCTATCTATCTATCATCTCTATCTATCTATCTATCTATCTAAAATGGAAATATTAATTTTCAGGTAACAGCGTCTGGTGACCAAACGGCGCGTCTGTGGGATGTTATTACTGGTGACCTGCTAGGAACATTTAAAGGACATCAGTGCAGTCTTAAATCAGTGGCTTTTTCCAAGCAAGAGAAAGGTAAATTCTACTATTATGTAAGACTACAACTATCGTCAAAATAGCATACTCTACTGTGCAGTATGTATACTGTAAATTATGTATGCATGAAGTATGTCAATAACACTACTTTTGTTATGTGCAATATACACTCTAAAAAATGGGGGTGTCCCTTTAAAAGGGACAAACCCAGCTATTGGGTTGTTTTGAACCCAACCACTGGGTCAAAACAACCCAATAGCTGGGTTTGTCCCTTTTTAACCCAGCGCTGGGTTATTTTTAACCCAGCATTTTTTAGAGTGTACTGATAATGCATCCCGTAATGCACCTTCAGATATAATCAACCATTATAACATCTTTCTTGATGCGTGTTTTGTTTGTTCTGGCAATAAAGAAGACGTTTACACAGTTGGATTAAAATGATTATTTATTTTATTAAATGTTTTTTAAAAAGAGAACTGAATTAAAGCTGCGCCGTTTAATAAGATGTTGTAGCAATTTATTAAAAAAATTGCACAAAATGTTTAAACCGAAGTAGCGGTGTTATAGCTTATTAAAACTATTAATAATTGTTTTTCAGCAATTTAAATAAAATATAAATATTAGATGGAAAAAAAAACAAGAATATTTTTCCAATGTGTAAGTTCAAATACAAAAAATCCTATAACTGAAATGAAAATAAATGTAAAGCTAAATACACTGAACAAAATTATAAACGCAACACTTTTGTTTTTGCCCCCATTTTTCCTGAGCTGAACTCAAAGATATAAGACTTTTTCTATGTACACAAAAGGCCTATTTCTCTCAAATATTGTTCACAAATCTGTCTAAATCTGTGTTAGTGAGCACTTCTCCTTTGCCGAGATAATCCATCCACCTCACAGGTGTGGCATATCCAGATGCTGATTAGACAGCATGATTATTGCACAGGTGTGCCTTAGGCTGGCCACAATAAAAGGCCACTCTAAAATGTACAGTTTTACTGTATTGGGGGGTCCGGGGGGGTCTGAAAACCAGTCAGTATCTGGTGTGACCGTTTGCCTCACATAGTGCAACACAT